CGCTGCTGTATCCCTCTCCACTGCGATCAAAGAAACACACCACAGAAACCCAGCACAACGCCCTGGTCAATAAAACATTTATGGACATCTTCAACAAAATCTATTGCTTATATTCCACCTATGTCAAGTTAGATGTTGAAGTTGCATGGAGACTGGAGAAAACACACGAAAACTTCAGAAACCATTGCAAAATTAACGAATTCCTCTAGTGCAAGCCCCTGCTCAAAGCAGGATTAGCTATGAGGTCAGACCAAGTTGCTCTGGACCTGACTGGGTAAAGTCTTGAAAGCAGCTACATTTGGAGACTACATAGCCTCTCCTGTCCCAACTGTTAACTCTTCCTCAGACTTTTTATTCAACCTTATGTCTACAAAGTTTTCAGGTTATAATTACCATTTCAAGAGATTGCACAAGTGGTGTTTCTGGTTGCTGATGGGCAGGGGGAAGAAGAGAGTCAGCAGGTCTTGAAGGTTGGTGTGCAACTGTCTGAGAGCTGGTGACAGTTTCAGAGGATCCTGATCTGTGGATTTCATTTGGCTCATTCAGTCTGCTACTTCTCTCTCCAGCAATTAAGTCTCTGATTTTACGTAGCTGCTCAATTGAAGCTTCCTTAGGGAAAACCAGGTGAGTTTCTCCCTAAAATTTAGACAAATTAATTCAGCAGTTAATGCAGGTCTAAGCTAGACAGCTGTTTGTATCTATTGCTAACAACTATATCTGAAAATTAGCATGCTTGATAGGATTCAGCCTTCAGATTAGGTCTTTTACAGCAGAAGCTATTAGATCAAGAACCTACAGTCAGTCTAGACAAAAAGAGCTAATAACAACATGCTTTTGTTAGTAAGTTTTCTGGCAGAGCCACATATGGACAACGCAATTCTGGTTTGGCAAAGAAAGCAGCAACAACAGAAATGAACAACAAACGTTCAGTTCTCACAGTACAGCAGTGAGATGCTAAGCAACACAATGTTGGGGGAAGAAGCCCAGAATGGCAGCTGCTAGAAATTTCCTTCTATGCTGCTATCTTTTCGGTCTTACGAGTTTTCAGATGGGAAATATTATTCTTTAGACTTGTATCCAGCTTGATTTCTGGGTCCCTGTTTTTGATTGTAACATGATTACTGGTAGCACAACAAAAGATTAGTAATTGTGACAGAAGCAAATATCAGTGTACTTAAAGAAATAGGTTTCTGAAAACATGAATATTCTGAAGCATTCATACTTTAAGAGTTTCAGTTTCTACCACTGCAGCACTTTATTTATTAAACTGAGTAATTTGTTTATCCACAGTTACCTTAGGTCACCTATCATTGTAGATGCAGTGCGTCACTTTAACACATATAATCACCGCAGAACTAAATGGAATGTATCAATCCAGTGGAAGAGTCCTCAATTTTTAATTGAAAAAGTTGGCTTACCAAGCAGAGACAAAAGAAGGAACAATTTTAGTTATCACAGTTGAAGAGAAGTTTGTGAGCTCCAGCTTCAATTGATACAATAACCATAAGACTAAGACAACATGCTCTTAAAGATCTGATGGAAGTGGGAGTAGCACTTTATAACATGATTAAAATGACCACGTTATTACTGCTTGAGTGCTTTGCTAGCTACACTGACTACCTCTTGGCTAAAACACATCATTAAAAGTCATCTCCTGAGCACCAGCATGAGAATAAATCCACAAACCATTTCTCCTTCTGCAGTCACCATTTCTTTCAGCATACTACTTATTTTTTTAAAAAATTAAGACAACTACACTAATTAGCTTCACCCAAAGAGAAGGCAGAGGTCTCATGACAGCTGGGTCTAAATAACATTATATATGTACCCATACAGAAGCGTGGCGTCAAACAGACAAATTAAAGCAATGATAGGGCAAGAGCTCTGCACCATTAAACAAGAGTTCAGGTTTTACCCCAGCTCTCCTGTAATTACAAAGGCTACTTCTAGCTTAACAAGCTTTGGCAGTTTAAATTCCACCAACAGGGACCATTTCAGGACACAAAGCAATCTTCGAAATATGTCTTTTTGACTGCAACAGAATCAAGATTCACTCAAGGCTACTTTAGAATACAGTTTTATAACTGTTTTAAATGGGTAAGTCACACCCTCCCACTACTTTGACAGTCTGTTGCCCTCCACTGCTGTCATGACAACACTAGCACTTGTGTAGCTGCACTGTGAATTGGCCAAAAAGTATTTCTTTTTTCGTTTTGGGGGGATTCATTTTTAATCAGATCAGTTTCCCTTATCTAACACACTATGGGGCCACACAAGCCCTACTGACAGTAGGAAGAAGCAGCAGAATAGCAGGATTTACCCCTCACCCCCCTCCAAATGACTGTGTCACCACACAGATTTACAGTATGGAAACTACTGTCTGATGGTGCAGTCCAATGTCCACCTAATAGTGGGCTGCTACTAAAAGAAGGGGGTTTAACCCCATTTCCCACCATTTCCTTTGTGCCAGCATGGATGTGTATCTGATCACTAAGCAAACTAGTAGTGTGCCTGAACAGCAGAAAACCAATCTTATCACAGATCAGGTTAGCTCTAGCTCCACCAGATTTTTGAAGTAGCCTCATTTAAATTTCCTTTTGGTTAATTTTAAATATTCACAAGCAAGGACTGAAAGAAAATAGTGATTGGCTTAAAATGTAGTGCCTTGCAAGTGGGAAAGCAGAAAAAAAAAAAAAACAACAGTTTTAATTTTTAGTATGACTGATGCAGATGTTATAGATTACAAAGTTCTACTCACCTCTTGAAATCCCATCTCAAATAAACATTCAACTGCTCCTCTGACAGGCAACAGCCTTGTGGAAAATGCTGGATTTCCAATCCGAATAAATCTGTATTTTTCTTCATAAGGATTCCTGAAGAAATTTAAAGGTTTAATTATGTTTGCAAATTAAGTAAACACTTAAAAGCTGGGTAACTGCACTAAGCAGCAGTAGCCATTCATAAGAGATTTTTTAAATGCTTAGTTTCATTCATACCTTATAGACAGAACGTGAAACCTATCTAAAAGTTTATCCTTCTGCGTTTAACTTTGAGAGTTACAGGCTGGTTCTAAATTCCAGTTTGCAACTGAAGTTCATAAAAACATGTTTTGTAATCCTAGCCAGCAAGGCTTAGTCTGCAGTGACGCTTAAAAGACAACTTCCCGTCCCCGTCCACCTACCTGGCAGCATTCTAACTGCGCTCCTCAGCTCGATGCGGGCTGGTTTTAGATCCACTACAGAAGCTATGTTAAACTTCCTGGTACCTGGGTGAAAACTACTGCATTCTCTTTACTTCCTTAAGGGCTCTCAGTTCCCCTTTCCTCTTTCAACTCTTCTAAGCCTTCTTCTCTCCTTTCTTTACAGGCAGTCACCCACCGCTGTCACACAGCAGAGTTTTTGCAAGCGGTTGACAAAGCAGATATAGACAGGGAGGGGCAGCTCATACATCTCAAGTTGCTTGAAGACACGAAGGTCAATCACACATACTGGTATGTATCTATCCTACAGAACCAACTCACAAAACTTCAACTGTAATCGATACCAATCTCACCGAGTCAGAAGAGAAAGGCAACAAAAAAAAGCAAGTTACTATTTTAGCATTACTCGTCACGCATCCACTAATTTTTAGGTGCTTAAATGCTTGCTGAACCAGGGCCAATGCAGGCTTTTATGTTTAACATCAAAAAACAAGCCCTCAAAACAAACCAACCAGCAATAACTAAAGAAATAAAAATCCAAGACACTACACTTCGGTGAAAAGTGACCTTACTTTTAACTAATGACGAAAAGAAACAAGATTTTTTTTTTTTTCCCCAACTTTGACATTATATAACACAACTGAATCGCAGAGCTCATCTTTGAGATGGTCCGCCCGTAAGCCCAGCGATAAACTGCTGCGTGTGAGTATGATAAACTGCTTCCAAAACCGGATGAGTAACCCAAAAGGAACTGCGAAGTTCGCCAGCGGACTCCGTTCCCTTAACGACACACGAGCCGAAGCGCTGGACCCGCCAGGCCGCTGCCGCCCGACCGCTCCCCGCGCTACCCACGCAGTTCGCCTTCGGCACCCACGCGCGGCCGGGACCAGCGAGCCACGGCCGGGACCAGCGAGCCACGGCCGGGACAACCGAGCCACGGCCGGGACAACCGAGCCACGGCCGGGACCAGCGAGCCACGGCCGGGACAACCGAGCCACGGCCGGGACCAGCGAGCCCCTCAGGCCCCGGCCCCGGCCCCGCCCCCCCCCCCCCCCCCCCCCCCCCCCCCCCCCCAAAAAGGCACCTCCCGCCGCGCCCCCGCTCACCGCAGGATGTTGTCCGCGTAGGTGAGGAGCAGCCGCGAAGCCTCCAGGAAAACCTCCCGCCCGTTCCGGCACAGCTCGGTGACGGCGGGGGAGCCCGGCGAGGAAGGGGGCGCCACGGTGGCCGCCCTCCCGCCGCCCGGGGCGCGCGCCCCCGGGCCCGGCTCCGCCACCGGCGCCAGCACGCGGCGCGCATGCGCAATCGGAGCGGTGAGGGCGCTGCCCTCGGAGCCGGCGGGTTCTGCGTGGGGCGGGGGGGGGGGCCTTAAAGGCGCAGAGCGTGCGCGGCGGGCGGCTGCCCGCGTTCCAGGAGCTGCTGAACTTCTTTATCCGGACCGGTTTTACCGGCGTTGCGGTCGATGTCGTGACCCGCCTGTGCAGTGGGGCCTCCTGCTCGCGCGTAGTTTTCGTCTCTGCTTTTTCTAGTTGTCTGGTTTGTGCTGTTAGTGAAAGAACGGCGGTGAAGACTCCTAGACAAAAAGGTCTGTGGGGCTTTGCTTCCTTAAAAACTCGAGATTTAAAAAGTTCCAGGCAAAAGGGGGCTTTACTGTGCAGAGGGGCTTGTGATTATTAGTTGACGTGCACTAGCTCTGCTTGTCTGCTTGTGACGGGTCGCTCTACTCAGCTTCTGTGATTTTTTTAAAGAAGATGGTACCTAGCCCTTAAAAAAAGATGAGATTTAACCCAAGGTAATTCGTTTATTTTTTCTTCTTCTGAGATTACAGTTATTATTCCTACTAGCATAGTTTAGAAGTCACCAATTCAGCCCTCTAAATAACCCCCCACACGCAGCCTGAAGGCAACCGACAGGAAACGATAAGCTTTCCCTCACGGCCTTAGCGTCACCCACTGAGGCCGTGGGTTCGTGTGGGGGTTTGTAGTGTTTGTTTTATTTTTAATTTTATTCTTCCTCTGCGTGTTTTAAATGCTCGCTTTGGGGGAAGGAAGCTGTTCCTTCGCCTTTCCCAGCCCTGAGGGCGGCCGCGCCGCCCCCCCCCCCTCCCTCCCCCGCGCGGCGCCGCCGGGCCGCGCAGTCCACAGCCGAGTTACCGATCCGCTCGCGCGGCTCCTCACCAATCGTGACACTGGGGATCGGCTGTCAAGCCGTCGCCCGACCGCCCCCCTCGCCTCTCGGGTGGTGCGACCCCGCGCCGTCGGGACGGGCGAGGGAGGCAGAGCCAACCATCGCGGGGCGGGGGGGAGCGCGGCCGGCGGAGTTACGGCGGCGGGCTGGGGCGGAGGGAGGCTCCCCCTAGCGGAGCTGGGCGGGACGGCAATGGCGGCGGCGGGCGGGGCGCGGGGCCGGCGTGCGGCGGCAGGGTTTAACTCCTGGTTTAAACATTAAACGTAGTTAATGCCCTTTAAACACCCAGTGACGCCCCATAGCTCTTGTTCCCGGAAAGAAATTACTCCCCGCCCCCCCCTCCCCACCCCGCTTGTTTTTCTTTGCAGCACGCACAGTAGTAACATGGCGTCGCTTGGATCAGACAAGGCCTCCGAATTATTTTATACTGGTTGATGGCACTTTATTAAAAGCTCTGTGGGGCTGTTGGGCACGCACTGCTTTAAAAACGTGTGCAATTACATGTATCGCCTCCTTATAAAATCCAGGCTAACTGATCTAAAATGACAAATTTGGGTTAGGGTTTAAAGCAGGTTCCTTTATAAAAACCTTTAAAAAAGCGCGAGGGGCTGCGGCGCAGGGGCTGCTGCTCCCACCTGAAGCAGCTGTGCTCGGCGGCCGCCCTTCCGCCGTCACCCGGCGCGCCCCACGCGTGGTACGTGGGGTCTGGCCGTGTTGCCTTCGCGAGAGGCGGTGGTGGTGTGGTACATCTTGCTCAAACGCACTTGAGGTACTGTCCCCTGACAGTCTAAATACACCGTGGCGGATAAAGGGTAGGTGGAGGTAGGAAGATGAGTCTTGTCCGAGATACGCCTTGGTGGCGGAGCCAGGAAGAGTTTCTTGACTCCTCCCGTTCTGAGTTTTTTAGACCATTCTGCCAGACATAAGTTTGGGATGACAACATCCTTAACGTGCTAATGGTAGGACATACACTTTCTCCCTTGGAAGAATGAAGCTGTTAATGCTTGTTGTTGATACCTCCAGCCAGCTGGTGGTTAAATCCCTGGGGGGAGTTTTGCAGCAAAACCAGAGTGCCCAACAGTTCACAGTGGTGCAAAGTCATATTTATCAGCAGTTTAAGCTAGAAGAGCCCACAAAGTGAACGCGTTTCTATGCCCTGTGTGCCATAACACATATTATTCCTGATTACAGGCACAGAAACTACATCCCTTTCTGCAGGGTTGAAAATAGGCTTTCATGTAAGAAGCAGGTTATCAATTCAGTGTACTTGGAATGTTTTTCACATTGGCTGCTTTATTGTGTTTGTGTCTTTCCCCCCCCCCCCCCCCGCCCTGTTACAGGAATGTGCTTGAAGTGATTGATTTCCACCATGTTCTCACAGTGCTCGCGGGATCTGTTAAAGATCACAAATCGGCATCTCCGGAGTCTGAATTTAAATCTGCGTTTGCAAAACCACAGAAGAGCTTTCAGCAAATCAGTGCCTGTTTGTCGAAGGAAAGTAGTTGTTACAGGTATTGGCTTAGTGTCCCCTCTTGGCGTGGGGGCTCAGTTTGTGTGGAAGCGCCTTCTCCAAGGAGCCAGTGGAATTGCATCGCTAGACGGGGAAGAATATGCAGGTGTCCCGTGTAAAGTGGCTGCTTGTGTGCCAAGGGGAAATGAGGAGGGTCAGTTCAGTGAAGAAAGCTTTGTGTCGAAGGCAGAGATGAAATCCATGAGTTCTGCCACTGTGATGGCCATCGGGGCAGCAGAGCTAGCCATGAAGGACTCCGGCTGGTCTCCCCAGTCTGAACAGGATCGCTTAAGTGCCGGTGTGGCGATTGGGATGGGAATGGTTCCGCTGGAAGAAATTTCTGATACAGCTGCTTTATTCAAAACAAAGGGTTATAACAAGGTCAGCCCGTTTTTTGTCCCAAAGATTTTAGTCAATATGGCAGCAGGCCAGATCAGCATTAAATACCAACTGAAAGGGCCGAATCATGCTGTGTCAACTGCTTGTACCACGGGCGCACATGCTGTTGGAGACTCCTTTAGATTTATTGCTGCTGGCGATGCTGATGTCATGTTGGCTGGAGGGACAGAGGCTTGCATTAGTCCTTTGTCCTTGGCTGGATTTGCAAGAGCTCGTGCGCTCAGCACGAGTTTTAATTCAGACCCTAAAATGGCATGTCGACCGTTTGATTCGCAGAGAGAAGGGTTTGTAATGGGAGAGGGTGCCGCTGTGCTGGTCTTGGAAGAGCATGAACATGCTGTACAAAGGGGTGCTAGGATCTATGCAGAAGTTTTAGGTTACGGACTGTCTGGCGATGCTTGCCACATAACAGCACCTAATCCAGAGGGAGATGGGGCATTCAGGTAAGAACTGTATGATGAATATGATGGCTAGTTCATATGTTAATTATAGTGGGTACATGTGTTTCTGGTATTGTACGCTTTTCCTAGAGAAATGCTGTTCAGTCTTCAATTATTATGCCAAAAGCCTGAAAACTTAATCTGAAAAACCAAAGAGCTTCTGGTAAGGTTTTGCCCTAGATTGTTTTTTTTGGTTTGGGTTTGGTTTTTTTTAAAAAAAGTAACAAGGTGAAGGCCAGTTCTTGCTAGAATCTGCCTTTTTGCATAGAGTTACGAAAACTTTCTCTGTTTGATGCTACAGCTGTTCACACAAACAAGTCTCAATGCAAACCTAATTTTTAAGATTTTTGTGGTACGGTAGAACCTTTTCAGGTTCTTCTTCACCCTTTGTCCATAGAGAAGAGGGGCCCCACTGCAAAAACAGGTCATGTCATTTGTTGGAGTCTGAAAGGGGAATAGCATTCCTAAAGAAATCCCAAGTGATGAAAGCTGTAGAGAAGTTGGAGGATCTGGTTTGTCAGAATAATCACCGTACATGTAATTAGTGTTAATTGTGATTGTTCTTGTTTAGAAAGTATTTTGGCTCTTCATAGGGAAGGTATTTAGATCATATGCTGGTGCTACAATCATGTTTAAATACTTAATTCTGATGCAGCTAAGAGGGTTGGTGGAGGGGCATAGCAGAAATACGCTTTAGTCCTGTTTAGTGAGATAGTAAAGCTTCCCCATTGTTAATCGCATCAAAACGAGTTCACAAGTAGATCATATTCATCTAATCATTATCACTGGCCTGATTAAATTGTCAGTGGAATTACACGTGTAAGTATACGTACTGCTTGTGAGCTCTGTGTAGGCTGGATACTATTGCTGACGTTGAGATCTTTAGTAAAGATTTACTTTGCGTTATTCTGAATGTATGTGAATATTTAATAACAAAATTCACTATATCGCTGCACAAATAGATCAAACTTCTGCATGGTATTGTAAAGCTGTGTTTGCATCTTTATTGGATTAACAGATTTTTCAAGAAGTGTAATATACCAGATTTCACTCTTGTGCTGTTTGGTCTCATATTTAATTGTTCTGCAGATTTACGTGTTGAGTTGAGTAACCAGGAGTGTCTTATCTCAGATTTTCAGACTTGTTTACCCTTGAGATGATATGGCAATATATTGTAACAGAATTTTTGTATATTTTATGATTGCAGTAGCATATAAATTGAATTCACAGTGGGAAGTAGTTGAAAGTTAATCTTGGTATCTTCAAAATGTTGAGCCGTTCCACCCCTGAGATGAGATAATACATTTTAATACAGTCTCCAAACCAATATTTTATTACTGCAGTAGTGTACGGATTAAATCTGAAATGTATATGCTTCTCTTACTTTTCTGTAGGAATTTTATTTGCCACATCAAAAAACTTCAGGGGAATGTATTTTTTTGTCATCTTCTAATAACTATTTCAGTTGGAGACTAATACGTGGGTTGAAATAAACCTGCAGGATAGGAGAGGCAAAGCCAGACTCAGAAATGTGGATATAAAGTGTGTTCTAGACAATTAATCTGTTATCTCCTTAAGCTAATATGTTCCTTGCAGCTGACATATTTAACTGAATTATTGATCTGTTTCCCTCGCAGTTCATCAGTAATCTTTTTTGCCTCAATGTTGGCTTACTATGTCTTGAGAGTGAGCATCAGTGGCCTCCAACCCAAGCTAAGCTGGATGCTTCTGAGGGTGGAAGGCTGCACTGGAGAGATTTAAATTTGTCCCGTAGCCTGTGGTATCTTTTTTCGGAGCTGCTTTTTTAAGTTTATGAAGAATAAGTAAATAAAAGAGCTAGTGGTCCTTTGTTCAAAGGTCGTGTGTTAAGCTGCACATGCAAGGACAGATGTGTGATTCATCCCCTTTCTGTGGGAAATCTGTGAGAAAATCACAGTATGAAGGCGTATCAATCTTTCTGTGATTTTCATAAAGCAGCATGTTTTATAGAGGCAGTCACAGTCCACAGGTCATCAGGAGTTGGAATGGAACATCAGGTGTCAGAGTGTGACTTTCAGTAAATTTAATTTTATATGTAAGAATTTGTGCTATCTCCTTGCTGCTGCAGGGGCAGGGACATCTTCTAGCCTTGGGAAAGCATGCAAAAGCAGCTCACGAGGAGCATGACTGAAGAATCTTTCTTTCATTTCCCAGTATTTTTGTTTGATAGACCAATTTTTATTCCTAATTCCCTAATACTGTAAATATGAGGGGAAATAAAATGAAACGTAAAAACTAGGGAATCTTCTTTTCACTTAGAATAGGAAGGGGATTCCTTGGCCCGTTGTACTGAGTGTTACGTGAATGCATTGCCACACCAGAGAAATGGAGGGAACCTAAATTTTTGTAATAATTTCAGGTAGTTATTTCTTTCTCAAATGTTTGCAAATTTGGCATTAAAAAGTGTCTTTGATATATTAATGTAGTCTGCAGAGACTGTTTGTTATATCTTCTTTCTTTCTCTTTGCATTTTCCCCAACTGGATTTTTTAGCAACAAGTCTGATTTTATAGTGGGCCTCACTCTTGAGTGGCTGAATGTAGATGCTAGTGTGTTTAGTTAGATGAATCCATCTCTTGTCATTTACATGTCTGGTAAAGTATGTTGTGACAAAAATACGAGGGAAATTCAGCATCCTGCCTTTTTTTTTTTTTTTTTTTTTTTTTTTTTTTTTTTTTTTTTTTTTTTTTTTTTTTTTTCCCTTAGGTGTATGTCTGCAGCAATAAAAGATGCTGGGATCAAACCTGAAGACATAACATATGTCAACGCACATGCAACTTCTACACCCTTAGGAGATGCTGCTGAGAATCAGGCAATCAAGAGACTTTTTAAAGATCACTCACGTAATATTGCAGTTTCCTCAACAAAAGGAGCAACAGGACATCTCTTGGGGGCTGCAGGAGCTATTGAAGCAGCTTTTACTGCCCTGTCCTGTTACCATGGAATTTTGCCACCTACTCTAAACTTACAGAAAGCAGAGGCAGATTTTGATCTCAATTATGTTCCATTAACAGCTCAGGAGTGGAATACTGAAAAACGGCGTATAGCACTCACAAACTCATTTGGCTTTGGTGGGACTAATGCAACTTTGTGCTTTGCGAGTGTTTAATTTACGCTGTGCATGTTGTGAAAAATGGCACGGACAGCTTTTTTCTGTATTGCCACCCTGGGTGTGTCTTGTGATCTTCTCTCAGCTCTGAGAATTGCGTGTTTGATACGTAGTAACTTTATTCACCCTAACGTTCACATCAATAATTCCTTTAGAAAGGGGGAACTTCTTTTACTCATTTTAATAAAATTAATGAAAGACCTATTCTTTGTGTGATAAAGAAGTTTTTGTTCTTGACTAGAAGAGGAGACATTGATCATTCTGTGTCTTTACTTAATTAGAATAGATTTTTCATAGGCATGTGGCACAGAAATTGCTTGGAAACATTTTTGGAGAGGGGAGGCTGACTAGCAGGTTAGGACTCCACAGTCATGACTTGATGACCTAACTGTGTGGTGCTGCAAGGTTTGTGACTGAGCTCCCCTTTGTTACTTGTTTCATTTATAATTCTGCCTTTTTCCTCATTGCGAGTTGCTTCGAATATCATAGACTTATGCACATTCTCCCACCCAGGTGACAGTCAGGTGACAGTATTATAGGAGTTAATAGGATTTCTGACAGTGGTTCATTTTCTTTTCAGCTTCATTAATTTCCATCTGTTGTGTTACCTCATTGGCCATGATACGGAGCGCTAACAGGGAAGTATGCATACAGCATGGCCTATACATCTGCCGTGTGGCACAGGGGTAGAATTAGTAGGTGATAACCTGTTTTGTTTTGAAATTTTGGACAAGAATAGCGAGGTAGATATTCAAGTATGGTATTGAGGATTTAAAAAATGGTTACACAGAAAGGAAGAAGACTCTTGAAACCCCTGTTTGTTCTGCCAAAATGGAAAAATAGGACTAGCCAAACTTGGTAAACAAAGGAATCTTTTAACAAACAAACAAACAAACAAAAAGCATGTGCAAGAAATAAGTCTGGGTCTGGTGTTGAGGATGAGAAAAGGGAAGAAAGAGAACAGGAAAATGAAATTATACCTAAAGTTGACATATTGATGGTGGCTGAGGTTGTCTCTGGCAAGGACCAAGTAAAGGACCTCGGCTGTTCCTCCTGGCACCAGTCAGCATATTATACAATCACAGAGAAAAATAAAACAGAAACTGAAATGATCAAAAGATCTTTCTCCTCACTTCAGCTCATTGCAATTTAGTCATCTGCTGCAGGTAACCTTTAAACCGTGGAAGTTTTGTGACAGTAGTTATGTGTTTTGATTATGGATCATTTTAACAGGCCTGAATGCAGTGGTAAATGGTATGCCCCGTAGGGAATTAAGATTTTCTAAAAAAATTAATAGAGCCAGTTTAACCATCATCTATTTGAATTTTGTTTGTATAGGCTTCATTTTTGTCTACTTGTTTGGAGCCATCTCTTTTTATCACATACCCCACTGAGCTGATCAGGGACTACTTACCTCCAATTACTGCTTTATTATGGTAGCTGCAAACATAAAAGGAGAATAAATATCTCTCTGTTGCTAAACTATTAAGTGGGCAAATTGACCAATATATTAAAACAATCCTTTCCTTTAAAATTCTCCCTTCATCTTAATAATCAAGAGGTGTAATGGTCCAGAGTTGGGACTAAAAAAACTTAATATTTGGATTCGTAAGCTTGGAGTGAGTTACAGTCTGATCAGAAAAGCCAGGAAATGCTGGGAGAGTGTTTGTTTTGAAGCCTGCTTCTGAAAGGGTGCGCCGCACTCGTGAGAGCCAGGTTCTCCAGGCAGGATGACGGGGCGGCCGAGGCTGGAGGGCACCCCTGGAGCTGAGCCACTCCAGCCCCTCTGCTCAGGGCAGGGCCATCTGGAGCCGGTTGCCCGGGGCCACGGCCAGCTGGGGTTTGAGTTTCTCCAAGGATGGAGACTCCACAACCTCCCTGGGCAGCCTCTGCCAGTGCTCAGTTCCCCTCACTGTAAGAAGTTTCCTCTGTTTAAATGGAATTTCCTGTATTTAAGTTTGTGCTCTTATTCTTTCACTGGACGTTACTGAGAAGAGTCTGGCTCCCTCTTCTTCATTCCCCTCATCAGGTAGTTACACGCATTGAGAAGACCCCTGGAGCCTTCTCTTCTCCAGGCCCAAGCTCTCTCATCCTCTCCTTGTATGTCAGATGCTCCAGTTCCTTCATCGTCTTCGTGGCCCTCCTCCGGACTTGCTCCAGTGTGCCCACGTTTCTCATGCGCTGGGGAGCTCAGACCTGGACCCAGCCCCGCCGATGTGCCTCACCGGTGCTGAGCAGAGGGGGGGGAAGGATCATCTCCCACATCTCCCACGACCTGCTGCTGCTGCTGCTCTTCCTAGCGCAGCGCTCGATGCTTCTGGCCGCCTTTGCTGCAAGGGCGGCCGCCCCACCAGGGCCACCAGGTCTGTCTTCTGCCAAGCTGCTTTTCCAGCTGGTTAGCCCGAGGGGTCGCGGTGCCGGGGCTTATCCCCGTGTCAGCTCATTTCTCCAGCCCCTCCGGGGCCCTCTGGATGGCGGCGCACCCACCCAGGTGCTCCCCCCCCCCCGGTTTTGCATGGTCAGCCAGCTTGCTGGGGCCCTTATCCCCCGGCCTGGGCCACGCACGAAAGCGTTAAGCGGTTCTGGTCCCAGAACAGGTCTGTGGGGTACCCCGCGAGTGCCTGGCATCCAGCTGGACTTCCCCCCCACTGAGCACAACCCTTTCAGCCCAGCAGGTCAGCCAGTTTCCCGTCCGCTTCCCTACCCGCTTCTCTCGTCCGTACTTCATCTGTCCGTCAGCAGGGACGTTATGCGAGGCCGTACCCAAAGCCTGGAAACCGCGCTGCTTTCCGGCAATCCGGCTGGTGTTAAAAGGAACATCTGGCTGAATAGATGTATTCCCTCCACAAAAACCTGCAGACTGTGATTCCCGGCTACAACTGGTGTATTTGTCAGATTTCCTTGTTGAAATGTGCATTGAGATTAAGAACGTGAATGTCATCTGAGAAGTCTCTTAGTCCCAGTTATTTACTCATTGAGGAGATGGAAGCCAGGTAAAAATAGATTATTTAAAATATTGGTTTGACTGGAGTCAAAGATTTTTACTTAAACTAATCTTTTTAGAAATAAATACATTTGAAGCAAAAATTGGACTGTCAACTTACATGAACTCATTTATTTGAAGGAACCTAATAAAAAGTTGTGTCATTAAAAAATGCAAGCAGCATATATTTTCCTGAAATCTTACAAAAAGTCAGGCCGCTGCTCAGGGTTAATTACTGTCCGCCTCTAGAAGCAGTTTGTTAAAATGATAAACTTCGTTTCATTTTCAACTTCTATAGCGTGTTCTGCAAGTGTAGGGAGAGAATATATTCCTCAGTTTCAGCTTACTCAGGTTAGTTTAGTTCAGTGTGCATAACCTTTTTTTCATAAACGTACAGCACATTTTTTACTAATTAAAGAATTTGTAAAATAATGTCTTGCCCTAAATGATTTCAAATTAACATCCAGTTAAGGCTTGAAAGAAGTCCTGAGCAAAAGGTTTATCTGTTCAGTAAAAATATGATTCACAGTTTTCTTCTATGAGAATAAAAATGAAGAATAAGTGTATCCTAAACTGTAATTACTTCAAGATATATAGAGCATCCTTCTGAACAAAAAGCTAACGGGATGACTGTTTAGCCACAAGTCAGTGTGTTTTCCTGCTCATCAGCCGACGATCGCTTGCCTTTCCCTAGCATGGGAGCTCGAAGTGTGTTAAAGGAGACTCGAACTCTGTCGTGGGTTACTCTAGGATTTTATTCAGGTCCAGCAGCGTTGGGTCACCTCCGCAGAGAGTGACAGCTTACATGAGTTCGCATACATGTATTTATGCACCTACAAAGCATTACCTAATCCAGAATACACAGAATTATACTTTATCAGTCATTATTATCTTGACAGTGGGTTTCACATCTTGTTCTGGAGTCCGACCACTTCGTTGTTTGTTTCTTCTTTCTTTTAGTCTTCAAGGACGATTACCTCAAGTTCTGTACGTCTCAGTTCTTAGTAGCCACAATGATAGATCTCCCATTGCTTCGGTAGCTAAGGGCCAGTTTCTCATACATCAACATCCTTTGAACTGTCAGGCCCACCATTACCTTTGTTACAACATTTTATTGATGCTCTATTCAGTTGACTGTGCTTGCAGCCCTGGGCTGGGGCTATACAGGGGACAGAGCTGATGGAACAGCTTGTGCAGCAGCACTGCATTGCAACATTTTCCCAACAAAGTGTACTTCGGACTGTCTTTCATGATTTCCCAAGCCGTGAGTGAGCCTGCAGTGAAGAGGAGGGTGTGCAACGGGACGACGGGTGGCCTTGTCCCCCCACCCTTCCCACCGCGCCTGGCAGCCGGGGCACTGGACGGCACACCCGTGTGGGGGGGCCCGTGCCAAATCCCGGGGTCTGTCCGAGTGTTTGGGGGGGCCTCTTGGTGGGAGCAGCCTTTGAGTTTTGGGACCAGATGTGGCGTGGGAAAACAGCTGGTACGAAAGGCTCCAGGAGGCTCGCCCCCAATCCTTTGTGACCTAATTTGTCTTCCCTTCTGTGTCTTCAAGTTTGTTTCTGTTTTAATGAAGTCAAAAGCAGGCTTCATGGACAGTTGGATGGTGGAGCGTGTTTGCTGAAATAAAAGACTTTGTGCTAAGAGATATAAGAAGTTCTGCTGATTTTGAGACATGGTTGGAAGTGTTCTAGGAAATGGATTTTTGGAAAGCAAAGTAGGGCAGTGTTTCAGAGGTGAATGACTTTTCAGGTAGCGTGGAAAACAACTGGTATAAATTTGCAAAAAGATTGGGTTTGCTATCTGTTGTTTAACGCAGACTTTTTTACTTAGTAAAGCTTTATATTGATTGTTGACATCAGGAAAAAAAAAAAAAAGTATATTTATATTTTAAACTATGTGCTGGTCTTCTATTAGAAACAAGCCAGGGCCAGATCTGAATATAATTGGCAGAGGAGGCTTTTTACTAGTTTTTGAACACATACAGAGCATTTCTACCTTGGGCATTTTCTGAGGAAAGGTTGCCAAATACTTTTTTCTTCCACACTGTAGGATTTGGTCCTTAATCAATATATGCTTGTCTTACTCTGAAGTGAAGAATACATGTTACTGTATCAGAGAATGGAAAGAATGTATACTGAATTGCTACGTTTTTCATTTTAAAGCAATAAACACCCCAAACTTGGAGGAATGGATATAACCTTGCTTTAAAAAATTGCAG